ATTACCTATTGGGGGAGAGAGAGAGAGAGAGAGAGAGAGAGAGAGAGAGAGAGAGAGAAAGAAAGAATGCCTTTCCTGAAATATGTAAAGAAATGAAGAATCTCTTGGGCAACAGTAATACCCAAAGGCAAACTGATGGATCAAATAAGTGACTTCTTTTTAAGACCCTTTCAGAAATGGAGTTCTTTTCTTTGAAATCATAAAGGTTTCCTTATTTTGTCCAAAGGATCTATGCTTGTGTGAGATCATCCAAATTCTGCTCTTAATCAAAAATGAGAAACCTAATATTTGAGTGCTTACTGTTTACTAAGCATCATACTTTCAATTTATCTAATGTTCATAATAATCCTAACAGGTATTATATGTCTATCATCAATGAGGAAACTGACACTCAAGAGATTGTGCTTTGCATAAAGTTACAGCTAACTCATGGCAGTACTAGGACTCCTGACACCTAGCCTAGTGTTTCCCCTTCTATACAGCTCCCTACATCACTCCCTTATGTGTCAGAATCACAACCCACTAAGGATTCCATCAGGAACTAGAATACAACATCTCCAAAAAATCTGCTTTAACTCAGTGGGAAAGTAAAATTTGACTCATGCACCTCAGGAAGTCAATTAATGAAGAGGTGGCTAGCTTTTATGTTCTGTCCTCTTAGCCAAAGTAATCAAAGGGTTTCACCCAAACTCAAGTGTTCCTATTGATGCAAGACCAATGACTTTTTTAAAAAATATTTTTTTTATTGATTTCAGAGGGAAAGGGAGAGGGACAGAGGGATAAAAATATCAATGATGAGAGAGAATCATTGGTTTGCTGCCTCCTGCACTGGGGATCGAGCCTGCAAGCTGGGCATGTGCCCTGACCAGGAATCAAACCAAGACCTCCTGGTTCATAATTCGACAACACTCAACCACTGAGCCACACCAACCGGGTGAAACCAATGACTTTTTAATAAAGGCCAATGAATCTATCAGCGTAGCAAGGATGCATATTATTTTGCAGATGGAATTATTTGGGTCATGGGATTTATTGGCAAATGTTGCTTATAGTTATTTCTGATTTTCAAAGACTGTGTTTTGTTACATTCTATATGAAGCAATTTGGCCTCCTTTCTGTTAAAATCACTTTCAGATCATGGTTGTTGTTTTTTTCAAGAGAATGAAACCAAATGTCATTTGAGATTTTTCCAAAATAGAACTTGGGGACTGTTTATGCCAGTGATCCATCAGCCCATCTCTGATGGGAGCTGCAAAACTTCATGTTGGTATATTTAGGGGACCTTCAGCTGAAGATGCTGCTCTACTAAAAAGGCCTATCCTGAAATCCTGTAGAGACATCAATTATTTACTAACCTGAGTCTGGTTTATTTCTGGCAAGTGACAAACACACAATTTTCATGATTTCATGTAACTTCTACTAAAACAATACCTTTTTAAAAATGTCTAACTCAAGAACCAGTTTGTGATTTCAACAGGACATCAATGGATGGACTGACAAAGCAACCCCAGCCTAGGGCATAATGGCAAGTAATCTTGGCCTAACAACATGTAACCAACATCCTTCCTGGAGGGTAGGATTCACTTTTGATAGAAGAGCAAGCCTTTTTGTTTCAAATTGTTAGCTGTGGGTCAACAAATATTTAACTGAGCATATTATAAGGGACAAAGCACTAGAACATAGAATCTTAAATTACTAGGTCATCTGGTCCAACGCCTAATCTTTCTGGGATCCTTTCTACATCATCTTTGCTGAGCTCGTATCTAACCTTTACTTCAAAGACTATTACTGAAGCAGCCCCTTCCACAGTGAACATCTTATATAGAATGTTCTCAGGCATGGAGCCCAACTCTGTGGCCCTATTGCCTCTATTTAATGGGCCTCAATACACCCCTTTGAACCAGAGCCTTGCTCTAACGCACTAATTGTATTCCCCCTCTTTCCCAAGCTATCTCCCAAAATCCTTCAAATATTCAAATGCCTTAAATTTTCAATTCCTTCACATCTTTGTTATGCCTCAATTTGTTTCTTATTTCAAAGTATGGCTTCCAGGAATGCTTATAACACTCCAACATCTTAGGAAAGGGATGAAGTGTCATCTCCCTTGGTCTAACATTACTACATTAATTAGTTGCCTCAAGGGATGATAAGTTCTTAATTCAGTATACTTCCTACCCAATGTGAAGAATGTAAGAGAATTCAATTTTCCTTCCAAACACAGGCTCATGTGACAGAAATGAGACCTGAAAAGAAAACATCCCTCTCTTATCCCCAAATTAGTGTTCAACTATACTGCTATGACTGAAGGATGGGACACATGGTTTTTTCACTGCTTTTGATTTTCTAGTTAAGTGTTAGAAGTATTATTAGACTTGCATTAAAACACATCTGTCTGGCCTGGCCAGTGTTGCTCAGTAGTTGAGCATCGATCTATGAACCAGGAGGTCACAGTTTGATTCCCAGTCAAGGCACATGCCCAGCTGTGGGCTCAATCCCCAGTGTGGGGCGTGCAGGAGGCAGCCAATCCATGATTCCCTCTCATCGTGAATGTTTCTCTCTCTCCCTCTCCCTTCCTCTCTGAAATCAATAAAAATAAAATAAATAAACATCTGTCTGGACTATGGTTGAGGAAAATAAGTAACCAATTCTAGATGAAAGGGCAAACCCCAGAGGAGCTCTTCCAGAGCTAATGTGGCTGGTTTATAAAAAAAAAAAAATGTTTGGGTTTTAGTTGGAAGACCAATTCAAAATCACAACTGGTATTTATTCAGAATGATTCATTACCTGAAAGTGGATGCTGCATCTGGAAGAATTATGAGATGGCTAAAAGGGGAAACGAGGCAAATCATTAATCTAACACTGGAGGTCACCAGTGTCCTCCAAGGACATACATTCATGAACAGAAAACGCATCCAGTTTTCTATTAAATTCCCCCTCCACCCTCTCAGAAGTCTTTATTGGCTAAAATAATCCTAATCCAAATATCTAACTTTGGCCAGTGGCTTTTACCAAATCCTAAATCAGAAATTAAGACGTCAAATCAATCCATTTGACTTTCATTTTTCGTTTTCTTGCCACTTTACTAAAGAAGCGCTGTGAACGTGAAAGACTAAAGGGGAAAAAGTAAGGCCAGGAAAAGTTAATAGGCTAATCTAAGTAATCCACAGAAAGGGTAATTGGCCCTATATAATCAAAATTAAATGTTAATATAATTCAATACATCTAATAAAAGCATATAAAGGGGAAAAATCCTTGCATAGGTAAAAGAGAAAGTACAAAATCCTTTGAGGATGCGGTCGACACAAAGCCATAATAAATCATTAATATCAGTAAGCTGTATGATTTCACAGATGTTCCCAAACCTGACTTCATGACATGAATAGGATACATTTTTATTGCGATGTATTTAGTAACTTTATTAAAAGAAAAAGATCACACCAAAAATGGAAATAGACATGGAATCTGATAGTCTTCAAATTACGAGTAAGCCAAACTGACTTATGAGCAAGTAACTCTCTTTTTCATTCACCACTAAATGAGAATTCATTTGCATTTAAGAAGACTCATCTTAGCAAATATTGCCACGACAGTAAGAACGAGAAGGCAAACCAGTAAGTTTAGGCCCTGGCCTGGATTAAGAAGACCACATTTAATTAGGGTCCTTTCTCAAGGTCTTTCTGAGAAGTTTCTATTTAACCAAAAAAGGTCCCCTTGGCACTAAGTTATTTATTCAGCTACACTTATTAAACACCTACCATTTTATCAGGGATTATTCTCAAACTTGAACTACATCAGTGAATAAGTGTCCATAAGGTCTAATCTAGAATTTACACAACTAAAGATAAAAAAAAAAAAAAGAAAGCCCTACATTCTCATGTGTCCTGCTGATGGGCCATGGATGGGTGACTGTACATTACAGAAAGGCTAGAAGGTGTAACAGGGAAGAAAGAGGCCAAGAGCAGAGCTTTCTAATCCCCTTCTAAGTGCAGCCAAAGGTAGATAGGGGAGGGTGAGCTTTGGGGAATAAGAATTGCAGATGCTAATGAACAACATAAACTGATGAACAAAAACAGATCCAGAGACAGAGAAGCATCGATCCGACCTTCAAACTCCAGAGGGAAGGCAGGGGAGGGTGGGGGTAAGGGGGAGAGATCAACCAAAGGGCTTGTATGCAAGCATATAAGCATAACCAATGGACACATACACTGAGGGGGGGTGAGGGCACAAGCAGGGGTGTGGGGGGGCAATGGGGGAATAAGAACACATATGTAATACCTTAATCAATAAAGAAAAAAATAATTTCAGATGCTAGAATGACTAGAAGCTGTTATTTTACATAAATGTGTCCAATCTAATAAGGTCCTATCCTCTTAGTTCACAAAGCAACTTTATTTTCAATACACTTGCTGCTGTGAGACAAAGTTGGGTCATGATGTCCTATGGTAACTGGATGTTTGCCCTAATTAAAAGATAATAAATCTAAATATAGGGACATTTCCGTACAGTTTAAAAACAGAAGTTCTGCCCACCTTGATCAACTTGTTTTCTGAATACCTTTAGTTGTTGGCTTAGTGGGGAAGACGGAGACGGAAAGGCAGCAGTTATAAATTATTTTGGTTGGTGTATATTAAAATGATTTTTCTTTCTTGTAGAGAGAGATTCTAAAATAAAAACCATTCAAACTTCTGGGATCTCTCTTACCCATACAATCAGGACAAACAGTGGGGCCAACCAAAAGTACCAGTCCCTTAAAGAATAATGTATAGTCCCCATGTGCAAGAGGTGGGTCACTCTGAAACAGGCTAGAGAATGCTAGAAATGCTTTATCAATACCGTCTCTACATGACTCATTTCTTTAAAATTAGCTTTCAAACATCAACCTATCAGGACCGAGATTGCCACCATCTACAGAATCAGTGGAATTGCATATTATATCCTTATCCCATTACTCATCCCTCAGTTATGCTAAGCAGCAAGCTACATAAACATCTGACAGCATCAACAACATACAGGTTTAATTACTTTCCCAATTTGCATTTATATCAGTGAACAAATTGGAAGGTATCAAAGTATGGCACTGAAGACATAATACATATTCAGCAGCCTGTCTTCCATTTTTGAATCCTGGTTTAAAATTGGCTAAGTAAAGGCATATACACCTCCATTTGAATTGGAGATTTGCAGTAACACATGCATATAAGGAAAGGAGGGAGTTCAGAAGAGGGAAGGAGGAAAGAAGAAAAGAAGGGAGAGACCAGAAAAGACAGGGAGAAAAAGAGAAAAGAAAGAGGAAAGAAGGTATGGTCTGAAGGTGACATTACTACACAAAGGAGGTGACAAATGACAACTGAACCTGCTTCCGCAAGCAGAAACTTTCTAAGGTTATCATTGAAGATACAAAAACGGTTCATGAGAGTTTTCATCTGTTGCTGTTTTCACTTATCATACTAAAAACCTACAAAACCCCAGGCCTTGGTCTGTCCAAGAAAGATAGTACCAGAAAGAGAAAGATGTGACCCACTCAAGGGTTGTGCCTACTTGGAGCTCTGCACTGCAGTCCATGAATCCACAGTATTTTGGTCAGATCTGGTCTGTTTCCTCACACGTACTCATAGAGTCTTAGAGCTAATCTTTCATATCAGAATATTATATCAACCATTCTTGTTTTTCGTTTTTCAAATTTTTTCATTTACTCAAAGGGCAGGAAAGATGAGAAAATAGAAGAAAATGGTAAGATTTAGAGGGGAACATGAAAGGAAAGTATTCTCTTTTCCAACAAATCCACCCTAAAAAAGGTATAACAAGACTTTGAGAAAGAGTGCTGATTCATGGACTTCCCTTAATTTTTTTTTTATTTCTATGAAATGCATTTAAGGACATCAATGTACTAAAACATTTGGTCTGTGAAATAGCGGAATCATTAGCACCAAAAGGAGTCATGAGCTTGTATATATCATTAAAACAATAAATGTTAACTCTTGGTCATGGGTAAAGGTTTTTTCCATCTTTACATCCCAAAGTTCTTGAAAGTGCCTGTAGACAAGAGAAATAACACTTCAGAATCTCCATGGGGTCATCGACACGCACCACAGAGACAGTACTTGGCCTTCCCAGTTTTGGTTTATCTGGTGGACAAGAAAACCAGGGTCCCCAGAAGCCCTAAAGAACAGCCCCCACATGCACCCACTGGTGTGCAGGAGGGATTCCCCTGGACTGTGTTCAGGAATGCGCTTTTGCTTGCTTTTTAAAAAAAACAAAAGCAACATGCTCTGCAGGTCATGGAGCGCTTAATGCAATCGTCTCCTTGCTCTGACTCCAGACTGCAAAAGGATGAAACCATTATATGTTCTGCTAATCCCGGCCTGTGGACTACGCCCTTGGCCTGCCATGCTTTGTAAACTCAGGAGTCAGAAGGTCTGAGAGCGGGAGCCATCATCGTCGCCAGATCTCCCCAGCAATTTGTGGCCCATTGGGACAGCTGATGATTCCTCTTGCTTCTCCTTGCCTCGGCCTTTAGTTGAAGTTACAACAAGTCAAATAGTTGATGCTTTTCCCTTCTCCAGGTAAGGGTGATGATACACTGTTCACAAGTGTGTTCTGCCTGGCTTCCCTGATGAGGCGACACGCCAAGTCAAGGAAGAGTTTCTCCACGTTATCCGATTCCTTGGCTGAGGTCTCCAGATAATACATGTCCTGGGCTTCCGAGAATTCTTCAGCTCTCTGCTGGGAGACCTCTCTCCTTTCAGCCAGATCAATCTTGTTGCCTAAAACAGTGGTAAAATCACAGACGGAATCATCATTTGACTTTTTGCAGGCTCGGAAACAGCAAAATTCAATTCCATATCTGAAGTCAAACCAGACAGATGGGCTTGGTAAAGCCAAGTAATGGGAGTATAATTACTGGAATGTTTATTTTAAAATACCAGTGCCATATGTAATGGCAAAGAACTGGAAACAGCCCAAATGTCCATCATTTAGGCACTGGCTAAATGCACTATAATAGACCCGTAGTTATTTGTCACTGTGAAAAGCAATAAAGAACGTGTCTATATGCTGCCAGGTGAGACACTAGGATATATTGTTAAATGAATAAAGCAAAGTAGAAAAAAGTGTATATAACATACAACTGTATATCTAAGAACAAGGATGAAAAATATATACACAGTTTGTTTGCTTATTTTTAATGGGACAATAAACCATAATCTTAATTTTAAAGATAATGATTACCCATTAAAGGAATAAGGTTAATAAGCCTGGCCAGTGTGGCTCAGTGGTTGAGCATTGACCTATGAACCAGGAGGTCGATTCCTGGTCGGGGGTTGCAGGAGGTAGCCAATCAATTATTCTCTCTCATCATTGACGTTTCTATCTCTCTCCCTCTCCCTTCCTCTCTGAAATAAATAAAATAATATATTTTTTAAAAGGGGTAGGAAGGGATAGGAACAAGAACTCTCTAAATATACCTTATTTTATAGATTTGACTTCATAATTTTATAAATGTTTTACATAATTATGTAATTAATGACAACTATACAATTAACATGGAATTAAATTTAAAAAGCAATTCTTAAAATTGAAAGCAAAATTAAACAAGTGAGCCTGTTTATCCTGAAGCAGCACAACCACAGAGAGAAACGATTTCATGTGAGTTTAAGAGACCGTAATTTAACTATGCATCCCTAGTCACAGATACCCCAAGAACAAAAATAACTGAAGGAAAGAAATCTTAAATTCTTGCAGTAATCATCTTGTCAGCAGTAGTACAGGCATTGTTATTCTGAGGCTGCTTTGTTTGTTGGGGATAAAGCAAGTGAGTGATTATGCAGGTGTCACCGGGACAGGGATTTTTGGCATGAGAAAAAGGAAATATGTACAGATGTAAGATGAACAAGGTTAAGTAAAATTTCTGAAGTTTTAAATTATACATGGAAGTATCCACATGAACAATTCATGGTGTACCTTATCTTTCCAACAATTTACCTGCAACTGAAATAGGTGCCCTTAACTGGAAATTGAACCCCAGACCCTTTGGTCTGCAGGCCGGTGCTCTAACCATTGCTCAACAAGCCTGGGCTTAATGGATGTATTTGTTACCATAGAAAATCATGGGTTGTTTTTTGCTTTCCCCCCATGCTAAACAGAGGTTTACTCTCCTACAAAATGAAATAAACTGCAGAATTTCCCACAGTAGATTCTTTCAGAAAATTAAGAATTTCTGAAGTCAGCATAAATGCAAGAAGGGACAAAATTAGCCACAGTCCATTTTTTAGGCAAAAAACAATTGCTTCAATAATGAATTCCTTATCAACTTAAGAGATACATTTTACTTCTAGACCAGCAGTTTCATGATCTCGTAATTAGATTTAAAATAATGTTTAGCAGCCCACATAACTTCACGGCAGTCTTATCTTCTTCCCTAGAGCCTACAATGATAGAAAAATCAATCAGCAATATTTTCTACTTTACTTTCCTAAACCATCACCATGGGATAGGACTTATTTAATTTTCTCTTCAATTGCAGAACTGAATGCTGGCTGACTGCTTGAATTATATAGCTGTAGATTATATTCTTGGAAGGTACCAAGATACAAGCTTTATGTGATTATATATTCTCTGATGCCCCAAAATAAATTTCCCTCCTCATTAGTCCTTACTTACCCACTAGCACAGTGATGACCTTGTTGCTGGCATATTGTTCTATTTCCCGCAGCCACTCAGGAAGGCAACGGAAGGATTCCTCACAGGTTATGTCATAGGTGAGGATCAAGGCATTGGCGCTTCGATAATAACTCTGAGTAATGGACCGAAATCTCTCCTGACCTGCTGTGTCCCAGATCTGAAGCTGTAAAGGCATACAAGGATCAGATTGGAGAAGCAGAAAAGAAAGAAAGCATTGCTTGACTTTAGTTTAGAAGTGGAAACACCTTCACCCAAATCATTTCATTGTTATTTTCAGCCCTAAGAAAAAAAGCACTTATAATTTTTTTGTTTTATCTGTTGTGTGTGTCTGGTTAGGGATAGGGGTTTGTTTGTTTTTTTTTGTTGTTTTTTGTGTGTGTGTGTTCTTTGTTAGATTATTTAAAAGTTTCCCCTTTATTCTTTTTTTAAAAAAAATATTTTTTTATTTATTTCAGAGAGGAAGGGAGAGGGAGAGAGACAGAAACATCAATGATGAGAGAGAATAATTGATTGGCTGCCTCCTGCATGCCCCCTAATGGGGATCAAGCATGCCCCGGGCATGTGCCCTTGATGGAATTGAACCCAGGACCCCTTAGTCCATAGGCCGATACTCTATCCACTGAGCCAAACCAGCCAGGGCCCCTTCATTCTTTTTCTTTTTTATTGAATTTATTGGAGTGACACTGGTTCATGAAAGCATACAGGTTTCAAGTGTACAACTCAACAAAGTATCATCTGCACAATGCACCATGCACCCATCACCCAAGCAAAGTCTCTTTCCATCTCCATTTCCCCTCACCCTTTGCCCACCTCCACCTACCTCCGCCCCTGTTGGCTATCACCACACTGTTGTCTGTGTCTACAAGCATGTATTATGTGTCAAGCTCCATTTCAAGCACTTTACATGTAATAACTCACGTAATCCTCACGATGACTATGAGGTAGGTACTTTAACTGTATCCAATGCTCACATGACGCACAAAGACATTAATTAACTTGCTCAACATCTCACAGCCAGTATGTTCCAGAGCCAATTCCACCCGGCAGTTTGGCCCCAGAGTCCCTGCTCTTAACCACAATGCAATATTTAAGAGGCAGGATACAGGGAGAGCTGTCATTCAGTCAGCAACTGGAGAGGGAGAAAATCCAACTTCACCACCTTTTCCAGTTCAAATGAATGTATTAAGGTATTATCTTTGTTCATAAAAACAGGAACGGTGCCACGGCAGACAAAAATAATAATTTTCTTCCACCACTTTTAAGCTCTGTGACCTTGAACAAGTCACTTAGTCTCTTTAGGCTTCAGCAGTTTCTTTATAAAAAGAGGTTAATAAACCTGCTGAAGGTGCACATATTCTGAAGTCATCTATCAGTTCTATGGCCTAATAAAATAGCCAAAAAAGAAAGGGAAAACACTTCTCCCTTCTCCCCGAATTTCCCTGCACAGAACAGAAGATACTGAAAAAGACAACTGTCCTCCAGAGAGCCCACTGAGTCAGAACAAATCAGAAGACCTTGAGAAATAACAATGATAATCTTCCCTTCTAATTGCATAAACTTCACACGTCGAGAAATGCAGTTTCACCCCCTATAAACAGAACTTCATTTCCTCAGAGAAGGCCTCTGGCACCTTCGGATGAGGCAGGCTCCCCAGCCCCAGCCCCATATTCTCTCCTGCAACCCACCCTATAATTCTCACGGCACCTGACACATTTGAACCATTCACTTATCTGTAATAATTTGTTTATCAGCTGTCTACCTCACTAAACTGAAATCTTCATGAGGGAGAAGCCAGGGTCCATTTCACTCACAGTTTTCCCTGCACTAAACAGCGTGTCTGGCAAATAATAAGAGTGTTCAGCTTTTTACGAAGATGGCGCCGAAAGCTAAGAAGGAAGCCCCTGCCCCTCCCAAAGCCGAAGCCAAAGCAAAGGCTTTGAAGGCAAAGAAAGCAGTGTTGAAAGGCCTCCACAGCCACACAAAAAAGAAGATCCACACGTCACCAACCTTCCGATGGCCAAAGACACTAAGGCTCCGGAGGCAGCCTAAATACCCTCGGAAGAGCGCGCCCAGGAGAAACAAGCTTGCCCACTACACCATCACCAAATTCCCCGACTACTGAGTCAGCCATGAAGATGATAGAAGACAATAACACACTAGTGTTCATTGTGGACGTCAAGGCCAACAAGCATCAGATCAAACAGGCTGTGAAGAAGCTCTATGACATGAAGTGGCCAAGGTCAACACCCTGATCAGGCCTGATGGAGAGAAGAAGGCATATGTTCGACTGGCTCCTGACTATGATGCTTTGGATGTTGCCAACAAAATTGGAATCATCTAAACTGAGTCCAGCTGCCTAATTCTAAATATAAAAATTTTACACTGTAAAAAAAAAAAAAAAAGAGTGTTCAAATATGAATCGATGCTCTGGCCTAATCCTCACAGCAATCCAGTGGGTTATGTAGGTTCATGCCTCCCCTTCCTGAAAAGGAAACTCCACCTCCTAATGGTTACTCACAAAGCTGGGACTCAGACTGCAGGCCTTCTCGTTCCCAGCTGAGGACTCACTTCATACCACTGTGCTGTTTGCTCCCACAGACTGATTTACATGGGCATCGGCATCCAGAGAGGCTGAGGCAGGCGGCGTCACCCACTGCTCACACCAGTTTAGCTGAGGAAACTGAGTGGCCGGTAGCCCCTGCTGCCAATCAGCGGCACAAAGGCTCTCTGATTTGGAGTTGCAGCTGCTCTTTGACGGTGTACATGGAAGTGTGTGCACGCTGAAGGCGACCATACAGATGTTCTGGCTTTTGCCAGGACAAAGGTTATTTCTCCCCTGCCCCAAACGTACAGACGTAGTTCCCCTCTGCCAGGATCTTAGAACAACAGACTATTGTTTCAGTGACTCATTGAGCCTCTAAAAACACTTGTGATGGGATCTAACACTGTCAGTCATTAGAAAGCAGTGTGTTCTCATGACTGGCACATCTTGAGAACAGCCTCAAGGATTAAAGCCATTGAAATATTTCCTAAAAGTGTAATTGCATTGCCTTGCCAAGATGCTTTCTCATAGGAGGCTATGCATTTCTAGCCTGACAGTTGATTCTTGAGGATATCCATATTCCATTGCCTTTATCTTTTAGTTCAGTTTCGCCACTCTCTCTGCAATTCATTTGTTCCTTCTCAGCATTTATAGCTCATTAATATGTGCAGGGCACTGTACTAAGCACTGGGAAGATACAAAGATGAATAAAACACAACCCCTGATCTCAAAGAGCTCACAGTCTGTAGGAAAGATAAACACAATATTAACTAACCATAATAACATATGGGATGTCCTTTTAAAGAGGCACCAGCAGGAGAAAGTGCCTCCTAGCGTTAGTCCCATGCCAGTCTGTTCTCATTGCCACAGCCAAGGGCTAACCACTCTCACCTCCGCATGGGGCCAGGCTGCTTACACCTCTGTTGCCTCACCGTCACAATGACCTACTGCAATCATTGGTTTACTAGTGTGTCTCCTTACTAGACTGAGTTCTTTAAGGGCAAGGACTGTCTCTTACTTTATACCCCAGTGCCTTCCTAACACAGTACGTGGTACACGGTGGACACATTTGAGTAATGGCTAGTGACAAAGGATTGTGGAATCACAAAGGAAGGGTTAATTTTGTGTAGGATATTAAAGATGTTTTCATAGATAAAATGTTTGACCTAGGTGATAGGAAGTTACTAGGGAACAAGGTGCTTTACCTAACACAGTGCTTGGAACAAAGCATCTACTATAACAGAGGACGGATAAATAAATGGATAGATGGGTGGTCGAATAAGCAAATATATGTGCATGCTTTCAAGACTTTCCTTTCTATGCAAAATACACCTGATTAGAGAAAAAAAAAGTCTATTACTATAATTAATCTCCTAAAGTTAAAATGTGGTAGACTAGCTTTGAGTTTTACTTATTATGCATCCTATATAATAAAAGTGTAATATGCAAATTGACCAAACAGCAGAACGACCAGTCAGCGGGGGGCAGGGCCAGTGAGCAGGCTGCACCAGGCCAGCCAAGGCGCTTGCCAGCAGGCAGAGGGAAGGAACAGTGATGCAGGGGGAGGAGAGATGGGGGGGCGGCGGCAACCATCCGTGGTGAATGGGCGATTGGGGGGCCTGCCCAGTCACCTCCCACAGAGGGAGGCCACCAGTACAGCTGCGGTGGGGTGATGGGGCCAGCCCTAGGATGATCCCACAGAGAAAGGCTGGGCGGAGGCCTCAGCGGGGTAATGGGGGCGGTGCCATCCCCTGATTCTGATGGGCCTTCCAGGTTGCCTCCCGCAGAGGGAGGCCAGACTGTGGCTTAAGCCATCAGTAGGACATCCCCTGAGGACTCCTGGACTGTGAAAGGGTGCAGGCCGAGCTGAGGGACTCACCGCCCCGCCCTGTGCACAAATTTTTGTGCACCGGGCCTCTAGTTTATTTATGATAGACTAAAAAAGATCAATGGATAGGAGAAAATTCTGTATGCTTTAGTTATGTTTTCTGTGCAAGGTCACCTTCATTAATGCAGAGCACCTTAAGAAAAGGGCCTCTTCCTCAGTTTTGCCTTTACTGGCTTGGCACTTAACTTAATATGTGTAAGAATCTTTCTAAAACGTTTTTATTTTCTGTCTTCAATCCTGGGAGCCATTCTAGAAAGAATGAGACTTATGGAGGAGCATGGGGGGTGATGAGAAGTCAGGAGAGAAACCTCGGTTCTGGTCCTGCCCTGCCACTCGTGGATTTTGTGCCGTTTCTGTTTCCCAGAGCCCCAGCTCTCCATCACTAATGTATCTGGTGTAAATGTCTGCAGTGAGGAGACACTTGGGGGAGTCAGTGCTGGATGAGACACTGGAGAGCTTCTGTCCCCTCATCCTCACACTCCTCTGTGTGTCTCTGGTGTGTCTCTGGAATGCTACAGTGGCACCCTGGAGCCTCTCTGCCCTTCCCCAAGCATTTGAGGGCAGGATTGCAGGTGCACACGAGAGAAGGATGCAAATGATGGGGACTCAAACTTGGAGTGCTTGGGTTGGGATCTAGCTGGGCGGATGCCACGGTTTTCACTGTGCAGCTGCTGCCGGGGCTGTGGAATCTTTCCATGGGCCTCAGCTCTGAAAGACCTGACAGTGGAATTTCACTAACTCTCAGGAGCAAGTCTCTCTACTCTCCTTCTGTGTGATTCATCTCATTTCAACCTTTCCATCACCTTCTTTCTTTCCTTGCTCCAAGGTGACAAGCTGATTCTGCCTTCCTTCCCCTCTTCTTTCATGGCAGGGGAGACCCCGGGGAGGCAGTGGGGTGATTCAGATCCTGCCTGTCTCCCACCTCCCTTCCTAACTGTGAAGCCACAGATAAATAAGTCACGCAGCCTCTCTGAAACCTAAAAAATGAAGATAATTTACTATATTTGCCTCACAACAGTTATAGTAAGGATTAAGTCAAATAGGACGACACACGCAGAATCACCTAGCAAAGGGACTGACACATACTGGGCACTTGATAGGCACCATCTCCCTTCTCCTGTTGTTGACACCATAGTTCTCACAGGTACCAAACTATCCAGAGGCCACAAAGGGGAAGGGAGAGGTCATGCATCCCTCCTGAACCCCTCATAGTATCTCTCCCTTGCTAGGAACAGGGGGATGATGGGAGACAGGAAATGATCCATGCGACGGAATGACCCATACATAACCAGTGTAGGCATCCACTGGCTCTTCATGGGCTGCTGTTCAGAAGAGGTAGCACCGCCTCCTGGCCCATCTCAGGAGAGAGATCCCAACAAGAAATGTCTGCCTTGTTTTTTAGCATCACCTCTGACGTGACGAAGACAGGACAAACTTGCCTTAGCCCTCCTTTCTCTGTCTTCCCATCTGTAAATGCATCACCTACAGCCCCTTCCTGCTCCCATAAAGGGAATGAGCTCTGTTGGGAAATAAGCTGTCATGACTGAGTATATTATTTTCAATGAGGGTTTCAATTAGGAGATACAACAAATGTTATGAAAACACCATTTCCTCTCACATAGCACAATAAAAGCCTTATTGAACACTTAGCATCTTACCTTTACTTTTTCACCATTTATCTCCACGGTCTTAATCATAAAATCAACTCCAATTGTGGCTCCTTGACCTGGGGGGAAAAGACCCTAAAGAAGAAATAATGGGAAATAATAATTAAGCAAATCTTACAATTACATAAAATTTTCCCACTTCCTCCACCACCAGTCTCTTCCTTTGGGTGAGTTAACCAGCAGAAAAAAGAACCCTAGTTAGTGTCCCGGGAGCCCTGTTTCATTTAACTTCACATGTATGTGTGTTTGGAAGGAAAGAGAAAAGAGGGAGGAAAAGGGAGAGAGAAATTCTGAAAGAAAAAAAAAAGAAATGGAAAGGGGGACAAATAAGGGAGAAGAAGACAGAGGATGAAGGGAGAGAATTGGGAAAGGGCAGAGGTGGGGGATCTGGTTTCAAAAAATGAAACAAAAATATCAGACACAAGGCTAAGATTGAGTTGCATTGAGCCACTGGGATGAGATCAGGATTGTTAGGGGGAAGGCAAAATGGGTGGGTTCTCTAAAAGAGGTAAGATCAAGGAAGATTCAAACTAGTTCTCAATCGAGGGCAAGGACATTCATGGGGGTGGACAACAATCAGAGAAACAACAGGAACGCAGTATGAGAAAAATGAACAAGACAATGAAGCTTTTGGATTTCCCCCTGCCCTCAGGGTGATAACCATATTATTGCATGAGATCAGGGCCAATGATACTGGGAAGATAACTGAAGAAACCAGTCATTCAGGGAGAAAGACCAGTAGAGGTAGCACTAAACCCGCGGAGGTAACAGCCTAGGATCTCTGTTGACTTCAGGCAAACTAGTTACCTAATCTGGGCCTCAAATCCAGTGAGTTTGAGGCTGATGTAAGCATTTCAAAACAAACAAAAATAAAGGTTTATCGCAAACTGGAAGCTACACTAGATTCTGTCAAAATCACGTGTGTAACATAATTGACTGTTACATAATGTTTCCTGTAAGCTTAGGGAGGAAGTTCTATCGAGAAAGAACACTTCACCTAGTTTCTCTTCCCTCGTCACTTACATTCCAGAATTTCCAGAAATTAAAGTAAAATGGATTTTATTGGCACTGGCATATAAGATTGGGCCATCTTTAATTAAATCCATTCCTTAACAAGAGAAAGCTTTAATTAATGTTTAATCTTAAAAGACTGAGCTTCAAAACAACAGAAAATGTTCCGTTGCATGTCTGCAAAAGATGCAAACATAAACATTCATAACTTTACTTACAAATATTGAATCAATTTTCTTCTATTTTGGTTTGGCTCAAACACGAGGCTGCCAAGCTTCAAGTTTACAGCTCCAGCTGTTTTGCAGTCTAACAAATGCCACAAAATAAAACAAATCCTTTCCAATGTCTCCTCCCCTCACTCTGCTCCCCAACTCCTCCTGCCTCAGAAATAGCTGAATCCAATTCATTTTAACTGTCTACTAAATAACAAAACCACACATAATCCTGTCTATGAAATATGAACCTTAAGGGGGAGCTGAGGGACTGGGAGGGGTAAAAAGTACACAGAAATGAAAAATAAGGGGTGATGTGCTACTGGTAAAATCTGTAAAAATGGAGTGGTTTTTTACCTCCTCATGACAAAGTTATGCTTTAAAAGAATGCAAGGTCAA